AAAACGGCATTCACAAATGACCTCCAGCGAGGTTTCCTGGGGGAAATGCTCAAATGTTGAGCGTTCTGGAATTTTACATCTACGCTTAGATTTATAGGTGTTATTCCAGCAGGAAGCTTAAAGACCAAGTTCACTTGTTTTTAAAACCTGTTTGTATTATTCTCTAGTAGAAATGAGTCGATCCCGTTTCAGGATCTAGAAGGGATCCAGAAGAGAGGTGAGAGTCAGACGACAGGATTTGGAGTCTATCTTTTTCTTGAAATTTGGACATCTCGCTTCTGATTGGCTAACAGCAACGCTACTCTACCACTGATTTTGTTTGCTTTGCAACATTGATGTTTTATCCATAGACTTGAATACATGGATGTGCTGTTGGGTGCTGGATGGGTTCCTCACTCTCCAAACTAGGGCTGGGCGATATGGCCTAAAATCAATATCACGATATATTGAGGATTTCACCTCGATAACGACAAATGGACGATAACTTCAGGTATACGCGGAAACAAATATTGTCCACTAGATGGGGCTGTCGCATGTTTTAGATTGAGTCACATTTTTACATGACTCAAGGTGGTACAGCACCTTAAAGGGACATGAACGTTGTCAACCCACACACATATTTTTTATTATCAAATTTATTGACATGGGAAACATTATCTCAGTAAAATTCAGAAATTTTGATAACGATAAATTATTGATTTATTGCCCAGCCCTACTCCAAACCCAACTGGAGTCAATACAGGGTGGGCAACTATGTCCGTTTTTTGCGCAGCCTACGACAGAAACCACTAGCGCACTATTGAAAACAGATTATGTGGGATTACTATTGACTTTTCTAGCCTACCAGTAATTTAAATAATTTTAGATATAAATTTTTTTCACTTTATTTTAATTTATTGTATCTATATTTTAACTATCGTGCCATACCATGTGTCTGATTTTGTGAAAAAGCATAATAAATGTGTTTTTAGTTTGGTAAACACATCCCTCAGGGGAAATAAATGCAGTGGAGGCAAATGGAGACCCATCCAAGATGGCGACAAGCCATTAAGGCATCTCCAGTAGGCAACAACAGTCCATGACGTGTCTACGTGTATGATGTCTGTAGTTTTATCTCCACAAATAAATCAAGCCTGAAGGAATTCTGCTGTGTGGTGGAGTTGTCAATGCTAACTGTTAGTTTCTATCAACCAAGACATGCTCTGTTCCCTCCTAGCTCCTAAATGAACACAGCCTTCCCCATCGCAAACCCAGATGGGTGAGTACATGAATGCTAATTTAGCAATGTGACATGCAATTGACTGGTCTTTCTAATCTGAGCGTTTTCCAGTCTATCTTCATTCAGCGGCTAATGCAGAAAATAGGGGTAGAAGACAATTTTCACATCTAGCCTGCATGATAAACTGAGTGACTTATAATTTTTTTTAAAGCAAGTAAAAAAACCGTTTCTCTGTGAACTTGGCCTTTAAACAACCTTTGATGCACTTAAATCACACGTTAGCGATCATGGTAATAAACCTGATGTCCAAATTGTAAAGCAAAAGCATGGTAGATGCAAGCAGAGCAACAGAGGCCCCCATTCTAGATTAGCACCTTGTAAATAATCCGTCACTGAGCTTTTAGGGGGACGTTTATTTATTAACGCAGAGCAAATTCTTCTCAAGTGAGTTCCAGCTCAGAGATCAGAGAACATCAGTCAAGCAGGCATGTTTGACCCAGCTAAATTGGGACCAGGAGTCTTTTTCTGGTTTGCAGGAGAGAGGTTTTCCCCTGCATCAATGCAGAATACTGCAGAGGCCACCCAGGAGATACAGAGCTTTAGTTGCAAAGATTTAACCCTTCTTTTAGACTTCTACTAAAGCATCGCAAATAAAATATACAGATGTTCCTGTTAGCTTGATTGTGGTTTTGTTATATTTTCATGTTTAAATAATGTCCGTCTGCAGCGGCTCTGTGTCTGAGCCTGGATGATGTTGCTCCTGTTTGAGAATGCAGAGGGTGGCATCGATTTCAACTTGACTCGTCTTCGTTGTCTTCAAAACAAGAAGAGCTGCAGGGCTTTAGAATAAAACTAAAGTTATCTAAGTTGGAACAAAACACCAAACAACCAGGATGTTCTTTTCTGTCATTGATCTGAATGAACAAACTGATATTTAAGCAAAAACAGTGAAACCTTTTGAATCAGTTTCCAGAGACTTAATTATGCCTTTTTTCTTTTTTTCTGCACAATGCCAGTTCCAAAGTGATTCTTAGTGGTTTAAAACTTCCTTTTCCATCCATGAAAAGAGCGGGAGAAAGAAAAGAGAGAAAGCAAGCAAGTGTGCCAGTGGCCCGTCCTTTAATTTTCCATGAAGCCTTTTGTAAGGGAGTCGCTATGAAGTGAAAGCACAGTGTGCAGCTGTCCCCTCGGCCCGCTGCTGGCTTTTTGTGGGATGTTTTCTTGTTGAGAATACTAATAGTGATAGACGCTGCACCCAGCTGGCGAGAAAACAGACGACAGTTATACCCTCATAAAAGAGGGCCGTTTGATTCCCCAAAAGTTAGAGGGCGGCGTTTGTGCCGGCTCCTTTCAGAGAACGAGTTTGATGTAAAAACGCAGAAAAGGATCCATTTTGTTACGACTTCTTCTACTTCAAGACCGCTGCCTACTTGCTCATATACGTGCCAAAACGAAGTACTGGGTTTCTGGATAAACATAAGCATTTTTAGAGTTTCTTTAAAGTCCATCCAGTGGTTCTAGAGGTGTTTGCAACAGACATAAAAATTAACATGTGCACTTGCAAGCAAAAACATAATCTTTTGATAAATTAATAAAAAAACACTTTTTGTGTACTAAGGGCACATATTATGCAAAACTTACCTTTTGCTTCCCTTTTTGCTGCCGTGTGGGTCTCTACTGTCTCTATAAACACGCCAAACAGCAAGAAAACCCATCCCTCCATTTTCTGCCAGTCAGTGCGTTTATGCTATATGTAGTGTCAGAAAACCAAATTATCGCTTTAGTCCAACAGAAGTCAGACTGTATACACCTTAGTTTGGCTGAAGTTGAACCAAACTGGATTACTTCTAATCAAGCTAAAGATAATGTGGTTAGAAAACCAAATTTCTCAGCATGTAAACATCATCCTGGTTTAGCCGAGCTATGGAAGCTCTTCTGACAATGTCATTGCCACAAGTGAATCTGATGTGTAACACTATCAAAATGGTACAATGCCTACCAATTGCACTGAGCTGCAGCATTGCTGTCCGTTCCTTCGGCCATTATGCCTATCCTGCTTCACAATTGTTTACCATTTGCCACAGGCTAACCAGTAGAATGCCAACACTAAAGTGCACATGCTGCCACCTTTGCGAAGACAAACACACTTCATTCAATAATTTGATTTTCTAATTGACAAAATTGCATTAAACCCCTTCACCTCTCCAGGCTGGAGGGACAGTACCTCTACTCCAAGCCCCTCCTGGATACTGGAGCGTCTCAGCTCATAGCAGCTTAAGCTGGGATGGGTGGGTGTGGCCAGCCCCAGATTCTTTTCTTAAAGCTGTTATAACGAATCTGCATACAAGCTAGTTTTTAAATGCAAACATGGCAACGTAATGCTCTCTCCTCCCCTTGGGTATCTTTCCTGAGACGCTTCTGCTGGAACTGGAAACACGCAATGCTGCACGAAACGAGATAGCGCTAAACAGTCACCGTTTTGTAGGTCCAAACATCTTTTGTTGTCTGTCACTCCAAATGGGGCTTTTCTTTTTGGGATTCTGGTAGTTTGTCCCAAAGTTGAAGTAGTAGCAGCCGGCTGTTTCTCCTTCTCTGATATTACTGAGCCACAAACCTCTCACTCCAGTGTGTTCTGTTGCTAAATGCATGCGTGCGTAAAGAGTGGAGGACCCAGGAAAGTGCGGCGGTTTGGCGAGACCGACATCTGGATGGTCCAAAAATTGCTTTCTGACCAAAACATGATCTTGGTGGAGGTTTTTGGACAACTGCTAGAGAACCACTTTATAAAAATTTTGTCTCCACAACATATTTATAGCTGTACTATGTTAGGATGTTAAGAGGCATGAAACATTTTTTTAAGTTAATTTGTTTTCCAGTTTGCCATTGCAGTCTTAAAGTGACAGAGCCCTGAAATGGCTCATTCTGGAAGGTACTGAAACTGTCAAGAATAAAACTGCTCAGATCACTTCATGTCGGAGGCAGATTGTGTAAGAACTTCATGAACATGTTTTGTATCGACCAAAGAACTATTGTTAAAAAAAAAAGTTGAAATATGCTATCTTTAAAATGGACATCTTCAACAACAGCAGGATAAAAATTACAAAAGCTAAAAAAGATACAAATACAGTTCGCTGCCATGAAGTTAAAATGAGACAAGAGGAGAAAGTCTAATTTGAACCACATCTTGGAAAGATACAGGCACGTTTAACTCTTAGCATCATTTGCTGCACAAACAGCCTCTAAATGATGAATGAGCTTTTCCAGCTCCATGATCCTGCCTGTAGAGGTTGTGTGAGGTCACTGCAGACATCCTGCCAGGCTTGCTGGGTTAATAACAGGACCAGGCTGGTGACGGAGGGCGGGCAGGCTGCCTCTGAGCCGAGAGACACTGTGTCATTAACTCACGGAGGTGATAAATAGCTCGTGGTCACAGGCCTGTGCCACCAGCTTCTCTTTGGAAACCAGAGATGTCTACTGTTTGGTTGAGTTCAGATGTTTTTTTTTATTTGTCTTCAGAGGCTCCTGTAATTTACAGAAAACAACCACTCCAAATACAAAGATTCCTCACTTTTAAACTAGCATTTACACTTATTTAGATTTACATGCCCTGCTGTAATATTCATGCTTTAGGTGACAATCCCATTCTGTATAATACAAGACAGGAATGTGTATTTACAAATTTGTCAAACTGGAAATGGTGCATCTCAAGAAACAATTAGATTATCAGTTGCTGTTCTAATTGTTTTTATTTTTTGTGATGTTTGATGTTTTATCTTAACAGACGTGTGCAGATACTCCCTCTCCTCTGTGCAGTTTGTCACCTGACTCTGGCCTTTCCGGCACAAACTCCTTCTGCGTATGGTAGCTCTACATTTTCTTCTTTCTCACTCATTGCAAAAATATTAAATCACCTCAAAATGAATTACAAATACATTGTTGTCATTGAAAAGTTTAAAAGTAAATGATTGTTATTGCTGGATGTACAGATCCTTAGAATTTTATTTTTTTCCCCAGAGGAAGTTCGGCATCTTCAAGTGAACATCCACCACTCGGGTCCAGTTCTCACCCCTCTGGGTAGCTCCATTACTATCCCCTGTTTTGTGTCCCTGTCCTCCACTCCCACCTCCTCCTCTTCCTCCCCTGTGGCACCACGAGTGAAGTGGACAGTGGTGTCCGGTGGGATTGAGACGCAGATATTGGTAGCCCGAGGTCAGAGGGTGAAGATCAACGAAGCGTACCGAGATCGGGCCGCGCTGCTGAACTACACCTCCTCTCCCGAGGACGTATCCCTGTGGTTTGGAGATTTGCGCCACAGTGACTCGGGTCACTATCGCTGTGAGGTGCAGCAGGGACTGGAAGATGCCAGTGACATCATACAAGTCAAAGTCAAAGGTAGAGCGCTGATTTTATTTTGTATTTTAAAGAACTACTTTAGGTTCTGTGCATTTGCACCATACTTGTACCAATGTGTTTGTAAATATATGCATGTTTGTGTTTATTTAGGGGTTGTGTTCCACTATAGAGATGCTTTGGGTCGGTATGCCTTTTCCTTCCCGCAAGCCCAGAGGGCTTGCAGGTCCATTGGTGCACAGATTGCAACTCCTGACCAGCTGCTGGCTGCCTATTATGATGGATACGAGCAGTGTGACGCAGGCTGGCTGGCAGATCAGTCCGTCAGGTATATCAGGCTCAAACTACAGAAAGGATTTAAACATCTGCTTTAAAGTTTTCACATGTGCATTTGTGCTGATTACATACGTTGTTTTTTATGTTTAGATATCCAATCCAGGTCCCTCGTGAAGGTTGCTATGGAGACATGGATGGGCAACCAGGAGTGAGGAATTATGGGACAATGAATCCAAATAATCTATTTGATGTTTATTGCTATGTAGATGGAATTAATGGTATGAATCATCACATAATTACGTGTTTGTCTTTTATGAATCCTGATTGAGGAGTGATATTTCTCAAAAGACAAAATAACACCACTTAATGTAGAAATCCAGAGTTTTTTATGGTACCATATGCCATTCTCCCCACTTCCATATATATGGACGAAAGCAACGCCTCTCATTCATGAACGTGCTGCTGTAGCTGGCAAACAGCTAAAACATATTGTTTGAAAATATCAATCTCAAGTGATTGACATGTGTACGTAAGTGGATGTTTAACGTTGATGCTAATGCTAAGGCTGATGCTGAGCAGTGATCAATTCAAGTTTCATGGGGCTCTACAGGACAGAGTGTGGGCTTGGAAAAATAAAAACTGATGTATAACCTACATGATTTCACAGTAAAAACTCTCTCTTTTATGGATTTCTAAAAATTCATACATAATTCCTGGAAGGGTGAAAACTCCGGATTGCATTTTTAATATATTCAGGATATATTGGCTATAACCATATAAAAGTTTTCATAAGGAGAACATTGAACATGCAGGGATTTAAAAATATTTTGTGTTTTTAGGGGAGGTGTTCCACGACTCCATACCACAACAGTTATCATTTGATGAAGCTCAGTCCTATTGTGGAGCTGCAGATGCTAAGCTAGCAACAACAGCACAATTGTACTTTGCATGGAGTGAAGGCTTGGACCGCTGCAATCCTGGGTGGCTTGCTGACGGTAGTGTACGCTATCCCATCGTGACCCCAAGAGAGAGATGTGGCGGCCCTCAGTCAGGTGTCAAGACCCTCTACCTCTTCAGCAACCAGACTGGGTTCCCAGAAGCTTCTAGCCTCCATGATGTGTATTGTTTCAAAGGTGGGTGATCTTTTTTCTTGAAAAAATATGTACATTATGTACAGCTACGGATAAATATCAAAACGCATTGGGTATAAATTGGGTATTAAGTGTACTTTTGAGGTAACGCATGCAAATCTCCTCTTAAAACATCTTTTTATTTCTTGTGTGTCTTTCACAGAAAACAGAAAAACTTACAGCGACTCTCCAGTGGAGTTTATCACCACAGAGGCTGAAGACATTGAGCAAAATGTTATTATTTTATTGGAAAATGCTCAAGAACTTCAGCTGAACAAACAAACAGAACAGGTGGAACGAGAGGCCCAAAGTGTTCTTGAGTCTTTGCCCTTTTGGTCTGGCTCTTTTACTCCAGAAACCCCAGTCAGCACACACCCAACGCTTTTATCAGACACAACTGAATCCTTCCCAAGCACAGCGTCTGCACTGGACGTCCTTCAGCGATCTAACGAAACTTCAGAAATTAGTTACGACTCTCAGCATCCCAAAGAAAGGATGAACACCACCACCAGCAAAACAGAAACCTACAATTCAACACAGAACACATTTCCACCCAGTGTTTACAATGAGACTGATTTCAACCAGAACGTCAGCATTACATTTCACCATTCAACCATGTATGAATCCCACATTGAGAACCAAACTGTGCCAAGCACCAGTTTACAGACTACACATCCACTTGAGGAGCTAAAGCAGCCTCAAGATATACATGAAAGTGGCCTAGGTATAGACAAACCACACATCAATTACAGTGAGACAGAGAGAAATCTTACTCCAGAGGAGAGTTTCCGGGGGGTGACCACTTTGACAGATGACTCATTGCTTCAGGTGAAAGTGGAAGAGGTAGCCGTCAAAGATCATGAGCTCACGTTGCTCTCAACCGAGGCATCTCAAGAAAAAACAATGCTCCTTACTCAAACTACTGCATCAGCTGTTGAGACGTTAACCTCAGTATGGAGTCACGTGCATGGGTCTGGAGATAGCTCTCAAGGTATGTCAAGATAGAAGAATGAAAATGTTATGTATGCTTTTAGTAAATTAAGCAGCATCTGCTTTAAAACATGTTGTTCTCTTCACCAGAGAGAGACCCTGAAGTAGAGGAAGTCATCACATCCCAGTCTTCCACTACTGGCCAGACCACTCACCTATCACATTCTGCCATGGTTATAGTTCCCACCGAACCTCAAACTGTAGCCCCACGTCTAACCGTCTCACCTGTATCGAGAAATGTGGAAAAACTAGACCATGAAATCTTTTCCACATCGCCATACCTGTGGGAGTCCTCCAGTTCTAGACAAGAGGGGAGTGCAAGCTTAGAAACTGTAGACATGTTGACAATGGACAGTGAAGAAATACAAATCCACACAACTCAGCCACGTGTAGTTTCTGAAGAAAGTTTAGCCACCACCCAGTCTCTGGAAGGGCTGAACACCTCTCAACCACCCTTTGAGTTTTCTACAGCAGAAAGTCAAACATCAGGTTACAGAACGTATTTTGAATCTAGCCATTCTTATGATGAAGCAAGTGGATATGAACCTGGAACTGTTAGTTCTACATTTAAAGAGGACAAAAAGGTTGTTCCAACCTTCAAAGAACAAACTATTGTAGCCACAGTCCATGAACAGGAGATCAATATTTCCCTTTTATTGGAACAAGATAAAGTTAACTCAACACATGGATTAGAAGAAGAAGAAGCCAAGATTATCACAACCATTTTTCTCACAGAAGAAGACAGTGTTGAAGAATTCACGGTTGCCCCAGCTCTTGTCTTTAAAGAAGCACCTAAAGTGGTCCCAACCCTTATTCTTAAAGAAAAATCTGAACTTACCCCAATTCCTGTTCTTGAACAGGAAACTAAAGCATCCCCAACTCTTGAAGGAGAAGCTAAAGTTGCATCAAGTCTTCACCTTGAAAAACAACCCAGTGTTGCACCAACCTCTGAAAAAGAAACCAAAGTTGCTCCAACTGTGGTTCTCAAAAAAGATATTGAATTTACCATAACCCCGATTCTTGAAACAGAAGCTAAAGCTGTACCAACCATGATCTCTAAAGAAGCGGCTAAAGCTTTCCCATCCCTGATCACTGAAAAAGAGGCTAAAGCTGCCCCAACCCTGATCATTGATGGAGAAGCCAAAGCTACCTCAACACTCATTACTGAAGAAGAAGTTAAAGCATCCCAATCCCTGATCACTGAGGACAAAGCTACTCCAATTCTGATTACCGAAGAAGGGGCTAAAGCTACCCCAACCCTGATCATTGATAGAGAAGCTAAAGCTAGCACAACCATGATCACTGAAGAAGGGACTAAAGCTGCCCCTACCTTGATCATTGGGGAAGAAGCTAAAGCTATCCCAACAATGACCACCCTGATCATTGAGGAGGACAAAGCTACTCCAATCCTGATTACTGAAGAATGGGCTGAAGCTGTCCCAACCCTGATCATTGATGGAGAAGCTAAAGCCACCCCAACCCTGATCATTGAGGGAATGAATGCTACAGCTAGCACAACCAAGATTATTGAAGAAGGGGCTAAAGCCACCCCAACCCTGATCATTGAGGGAGAAGCTAAAGCTACCCCTACCCTGGCCATTGATGGAGGAGCTAACACTAGCGTAACCCTGATCACTGAAGAAGAGGTTAAAGCATCCAAGCCCCTGATCACAGAAGAGGCTAAAGCTGCCCCAACTCTGATCATTGATGAAGAAGTAAAACCTAGCTCAACTCTGATTACTGAAGAAGAGGCTAAAGCTGCCCCAACTCTGATCATTGATGAAGAAGTAAAACTTAGCTCAACTCTGATTACTGAAGAAGAGGCTAAAGCTGTCCCAACCCTGATCATTGATGGAGAAGCTAAAGCCACCCCAACCCTGATCATTGAGGGAATGAATGCTACAGCTAGCACAACCAAGATTATTGAAGAAGGGGCTAAAGCCACCCCAACCCTGATCATTGAGGGAGAAGCTAAAGCTACCCCTACCCTGGCCATTGATGGAGGAGCTAAAACTAGCCTAACCCTGATCACTGAAGAAGAGGTTAAAGCATCCAAGCCCCTGATCACAGAAGAGGCTAAAGCTGCCCCAACTCTGATCATTGATGAAGAAGTAAAACCTAGCTCAACCCTGATTACTGAAGAAGAGGCTAAAGCTGCCCCAACCTTGATTTGGGAAGGAGCCATGGTATCCTCAGCGTTTGACCCTGAGGGAGAAGCTAGTGTTCCCCCAACGTCTGAAGATGAAATCAATGCTGCTCCAACTCTTGTCACTGAAGAAGAAATAAAACTTGTCACAACATGGGCCCTTGATGAAAGAACCAAAGTTCCTTCAATTTTTGACTATGAGGGAGAAGTCAGAGTAGTGCCAATGCTTGAAGCCGAGGTCAAAGTTGTTCCAACTTTTGCCATTATTAAAGATTCTAAAGATGTCCCAACCTCAGCCTTTGAAGAAGCCAGTGTTGTCTCTAATTCTAAAGAAGTTGCCCAAACCTTCGTCCTTGAGGAAGAACCTAAAATTGACCCAACCTTAGTCTATGAAGGAGAAGCTTATGTTGCCCCAACAAATGAAGGACGTAAAATTTCTCCAACACTTGCCATTGAAGAAGCAACAAAAGACACCCTTACCCTTGAGAATGAAAAAGTAAAAATTGCTCCAACCTTTGACGATTTTAGCATCTCCCCGTTTATTTCCGAAACATCTAAGTGGACTCTGCTGCCCACTACAACTGGACAACAAGAGTCTTTGAATGAAGTTAAGTTCAATCGAGGACCCACCATTGCTGTTTCTGATTCACTGGCAACTCAGATGAGCACAAAACCCACTGCTTTAGCCTCAACGACAACCACCCCCACCATAACCACCACCACACATCGCTCCAGACATGTCTGGAGCCCAACTACCTCCTCACCCAAAAGTTTCCATGAGAAGGTGGAGCTACAGAAGGTTACCCATACCATTCCACTGGTGGATCACGGTTTGGGTGATGGTGAGCTTAGCCTCACACTGCCACCCACCCTGCTTAACTTGCCCAATGAGAGGGCAGCTGTAGGTGGGACAGGGAAGTCTTCAGGTAATGCTAAAACCACATTCCTCACCCTAACAGTGCTCTACCTAGTCAATGCGGTGATGCACTAAAATCCCTGGTTTGTCTCTGCTCCACTTTTTGTAAAACCCTCACCCCTGCTTTTCAAAAATCTCCCCTCATTTGTTTCATCTGCAGCCTCAACAAGCCCACTGACCTTTCTTACTCCCTCCCTGCTTTAAACACCTCCTTCACTGTTTTCCCTGCGACACCTTACTGTACCCTCAATGATACTCACATTGGGACAGTTGCCCTTTGATACTTGTCAACAATCTTGTTGTGCATGATTGTTTTTCTACTCACCCAAAAATTGACTTCTATGAAGTACTGATGTGTCTAGAAGAATGTTTAAGTGCTTCCTATGATGGTTAGAGTCATAGTGAGTTTATTTTTGTAAGATAAGCATTAACGCTTGTTTGTCTCTGAACAAAGTGGTCACCCCACCAGGAAATGTTAAAAGTTGTCTTCTGTGTGGTCCTGGAAACCAGTTAATGAATGTAACAGCCCTGATCAGTGTAGCTTGAAAATTTATATTTATTTGTTTACTCTCCTTAACTTAACTTTACTTTACTTTACTTATCTTTACTCTCCTTTCTGCTCAAACTTAGGTATTCTAGGACCAGAATCAGACATGTTTAGGTTTACAAGCACAAAATATGTGAATTATTATATTGTTGTGAACCGCGACTTAACAATCAATTATGAATATGTTTACTGTCAAGTCATTGTTTATTTATGAATGTTTAATGTTTATTTTAAGTATTTAGGACTAATGCTGATAAAGCCAACCCCTCAATCTAAATGTTGTTTCGCTCTCTTCTAGTAGAGAAGTTTAGTTTTATTTAGAAAAGTAAGTACTACTTTACATTTTGTCACATGCTTACATTTCATACTAATTTTACTTTGTCAGTAAAAAAAACGTTCCTCCCATTTCGAAACTAGTGTAACAAAGTTCAGGATTGTAGGTTTTAATCTGTTCTCAAAACAATAAATACAAAAATCTAGCATTTGGTGTTTAGGAAAAATATAAACGACAAAGGATTTTAATTGTATTTGTCAGCTATTATTTTTAAAGTAATTACAAACTTTTTTTAAGAAAGTGATATTTTTAATGATGAAAAATCATTTAGTTATTAATATATTCTAGTTTTTGTTGCTTGGACTTGGAGAATTGGACTTGTGCATGCATATTAAGGTTTCTTTACTGTTTCTGCACTGGTCTGCTTTGGTCAACCAGTTTCTCAGCAGGATTCCCACGTTTCATAATTATTTGTTCATGTTAGTTCAAAAAAGTGTTGTGAAACAGTCACTTTTACAAAAACCACTTACAAATCATAGTGAAAAAGCAAAAACAAATCTTAGCATGAGAGGAAAAATAAATGACATTCAGCCAGACTTTGTTCATTGCAGAGGCGCCACTAAGAAGGGGCAGGGGGTGGGGCAGTGGTCACCCCTATAAATTTACTGACCCTCGCCCTTAATGGCCCCTCTGGCCAGAGTCTTACATGCATAATATTTTTCTTTGAATACAAATTTAGGAGAAAAGAAAACATGCTTCAATAAATTGCAACGTTTGATTTTTTTCAAAAAACATTCTCGCTGGGATGCAACTGATGGAGAAACAGAATTTTTAAAAAGATATGACACTTTTTTGTTTTAATCACACTGAAAAGTTAAGCTGGGTTTGTGATATCCATGAAGACTCAGCAATAATTTTGAGAACAAATTTCCTCCAATAACTTTAAAAATTCCATTAACACCAGAGCAAGGTCCTGTGATTCAAATCAGGAATACGAGAGTCATCTCAAACATTTGAAGACATTTTAGAAACTCTCTCGTGAATTATGTTGCCAACAGCCACAGTACAGTGTGATACAGGCTTTAGTTCAAAAAGCTTGTGTACAAAAATCAATAAAGTAACCTGTGAAATTCTGTTATGACTTTTGGTTTTGGTGTCCCACTCTATGATTATCAATGGCCCCCATCTTTGACTCTTGAGACGCAGCTGTTAACTTGCAGCTGATGTTGTGTTATGCAGATGATGTGGAAGTGTTTATGTGTGTGTCATCAGGCCTTTCCATCAGGCGTGTAAGCATCACTTAATGTCTGCGAAGCGAAGTACGGAGCTATCAGCTTCCCTTATAGTGAATGGGTGTGTTTCCACCGACCACAAAGCAGCACATTTTGGAGTCGTCCCAGAAGCGTAGTGATACATTACTCAACTAAGTTAATGCCTCAGGTCTATTTTTACATGCTACCCTTCCAGAACACATATAGTTGAGCAGTTCAGATTGAGTCAGACACAAAGTCAAATATGTGGGCAGTACAAATCAACTGGAAGCTTTTAGAATAAAGGTCACGTGGAGATTTCCAGTCGCTAAACTTGTTTAACCCTCCTACTGTCCTAATGGGTGTGAACCCGCGAGGAAATTTGACCATTGAACAGGGTTGATGGTTTATCATTGAGCAGCATTGATGGTTTATTCCTTGGGTCCATGTGGCAGGAGTGAGGAGTGAGCACCACCTCACCACTGCCACGTGGACTTCAAGGGATAAACCATCAACCCCTGCTCAATGGTCAACTTTCCTCACGGGAGGGTTAAAAAAAACGTCAGGTAAGTCATTACCAGTGACACTTCTGTTGCCGAGGTAAATGCATCAGAAAACAAATCAATGACGTTTTTGGATACATGCTGCCATCTTTCTCCCTGTTTGCTATTGTGTGAACGTCCGAAATCACGTGTGGTCTTGCAAGTTTCTAGTGATTTCATGACCCCATGTGACCAGTTGTATGGATCGCTTTCACTACTATTTTGCATCTTAAACACTCCCAATTGGAAGGGGCTGACCTCACAGGAAAAACGTGTCTATGAAGTTACGTGTCGATTACATACTCAGAGGAAAGCTCAGGTTTGAGAGAGCCTGCAGCATACTTTGCAGAATGATTGGCATATGTGAGCTAAATATTAAAAGAATTGCCTGCCAAACCTTAAAAAAATGTAAATAATTAGAGCATCTCAAGATGCTTGTATTATCCGTCCCTTTTTGGTTATCTTTTGGAACCTTCACTATGCTATTTTATAATTTCTGTAAGAAATTTAACCACGATTGGTATTCAGGTTTGTGACATACAAGTCTAACCTGTTCTGGTTTTATTCTGAGATTTTAGAGATTTCTTTTAAAAATCCCTTCAAAAAGGAAAAGCTACATCTCTTGTGACAAACTCCAAAGATACAAGTTGTAAAACTTAGATATTTTCAAGGTCACAAGCTCAAGTGAAACTTTTTTCTCAGGGATTAGGATCCTTTAAGACTTGAAAGGAACCTCTGTGGTTTCCTGGACTGCAACTGTTTATTTTTTTGCGAGAGTTAACAACAGTTTTGCTTTAAGAGCACATGATTCTTATTTGTGTAGAGAAAAGTAGTTATTATTGTAGCTTTCATATACGCAGCTGCAGAGATGTGAGTGTGAGCATAATGACAAACACGACTCTGTTCTAGTTTACACAGAGTGAGACAGAACTGTCTTCATTTAGTCTTTCTGAAGACAACATGATCCTCGTTTGTATTTGTCCCTGACACAATCAAATCCAGATTTTAAAGGTTTAAATTTATTGCTGAGATGACAGAGAAGAAAGAAGACGATCTAAGGAGTTGACTCTGTGAGATCTGTCCTCTGCTGCCATCTGATGGCTCATCTGAATTTGGATTATTTCAGAAAGAAGCAGCATCTTTTTTTTTTAAATAAACTGTTTTAGTTCATCAGTCATGTTTTGTTTCAGATGCCTGTCTGAATGACCCCTGTCTCAACGGAGGCACCTGCACAGATCAAGATGGACACATTAAATGTCTCTGTTTGCCAACATATGAGGGAGACTTTTGTCAAACTGGTGAGCCTTTTGCTGTGGTGCATCTGAAGTTTCTATGTCTGGTTGCCCTGACTTTCCTGCTGTGATGTTTGCAGATCTGGAGCAATGTGAGCCAGGCTGGGACAAATTTCACGGTTTCTGTTATCGACACTTCAGCCAGCGTCAAAGCTGGGAGGTTGCTGAGCAGCACTGTCGGATGCAAGGAGCTCACTTGGTATCCATCATGACTCCTGAGGAGCAGGACTACATCAACAGTAGGGCTACACTAATTGTTACCACATGAAAAGTTTGAGTATATGAATTAATAATTTTTTTAAACTTTTTTATCTTCACAAGGCAACTACAAGGAATACCAGTGGACTGGTTTGAATGATAAAACCATTGAGGATGATTTCCGCTGGTCTGATGGCAACCCACTGGTAAGAAGATGTACCTACAGATCACAAACATGTTGGCATTAAATATGAAAGAGGATAGGACAGTAATGAGTTAATAATATATTAACGTGTTAACAACACACACACACACACACACACACACACACTGATAGCCATTTACCTTGTTGTTTTGGTGAATATTGGCAGCCTGGGGTGTCTAATGTAGTATATTGAAAAGCTTGATTTCTGGTTTCTATTCGTGCTAATTACAATTTTTTACAAGCTGAAGTACATACCAGGCGTGGTTGAAACACCCATCATTACTTTTCATTTAAATTTCAGTGCAACATATGTGCGATCCAGGGCAGAAGCGAAGCGGATTAGAAAATAGCTCTTTTAGCCCCGTTGACTTGCATTCATTTTTTTCTTCTGGGGACCCATGAGTCAAGGAGACTTGGCTCCTTATGCCAACCACAAAAAAAAAAAAAAAAATTGCTAGAGCGAGCTACTGCTAATGCTAGCCCAGTCTACAGCTAATGCTCATCGTGCTCATCTGAGCTACTGCTAATGCTAGCCCAGTCTACAGCTAATGCACATCTGAGCTACTGCTAATGCTAGCCCAAGCTACAGCTAATCCTAGTCCAAGCTACTGCTAATGTTAGCCCAATCTACAGCTAATGCTCATCTGAGCTACTGCTAATGCTAGCTCAAACTACAGCTAATCCTAGTCCGAGCTACTGTTATTCCTAGTGTGAGCTACTGCTAATGCTAGCCCAAACTACAGCTAATCCTAGCCCAAGGTACAGTTAATCCTAGTCCGAGCTACTGCTAATGTCCTTGTTAAACAAGAAGAACACAGAAGAATGTTGAAGCACTCACTTTTCAGGATGTACTGTATCCAGATGAAGGAATACCAGATAGATGGGAATCCATCAATGAAAAGGGAATAGGAAACAGGAAGAACGACAGGAAAAAAGGAAATTTGAGCAAGCAACCAAAAACAGGGACCTGGGAGCAAAAGAGCAGGATACAACAAACAAAGACTAGAGAACAGAAAAGAGGGAACATTGTGCAAAGGAACAGACTATGGAGCACAGGACAACAAACTCGAACATGGCACTAGAAACTGTGGACAGTGGACTGGGAACAGGGAAAACGGGAATAACCTGGAGGATCTGTCGTGGGTGAACCAACACGGGTGTTGGTAATTACAAAGTGGGAACTGGGTGCAACTGGGATAATTGGCTGAGAAGAAGTAGATGTGAATGAGTTGAAAAGGGAAAGAAAATGACCAACATGGAAGTGATTAAGTGAAAACAGTAAATCAAGGAAAGTCTGACAATAAACAAAAAACAACTCAAACCTAAACCCCAAACTCTGGAAAACAAACATGAAACAGTTTTATTTTGTTTTTAACAAAGATTTGTTTAAACAATTGACAGAGTTGTAGTCAATTATTTTGGTAAGTGTTGAACACTTTCTTATCCAGATATAGTTTAGAGCAGATAATTTTTTTGAGACTTTGAGGGTTTAAATGTCTCTGCAGCTGTATGTGAACTGGTACCGAGGACAACCAGACAGCTACTTCCTGTCTGGAGAAGACTGCGTGGTGATGGTGTGGCATGATAATGGGCGCTGGAGCGACGTACCCTGCAACTATCACCTCGCATATACGTGCAAGAAGGGCACCTGTGAGTATGGAGATGTCATTTCAACCCTCGTCTTCTGCTAATTATGATAATCATCATGGCTCAACTCTTCCTACAGCCTCCTGTGGTCCGCCACCAAAAATACGAAATGCCTCAATTTTTGGGAAAACTCGGCAAAGATACGAAACCGGTGCAATTGTGCGTTACCATTGCAGAGAGGGCTTCCAGCAACGATTATTCCCTCTGATAAAATGCCTGTCTGGAGGATATTGGCAGAGACCACAGATCCTGTGCATCCCAAGTAAGATTTGAATTCCACTATAAATTTGCATCTTTTGTTTATAAAATGTTTGAAATCACTTAAAGGCACAAAAACCTTTTTTATCCAGAATCTGGAGGACCAACGCGTCACCCTGAGGAGTTTTCTCTGACTGAGAGCAACTTTGCTGCTGCTGAAAATGAGGATGGAGCCACTAAAGAGGCCCCACAGTACTGGGACATCAAGTTTTAACTGGGCTAATTTTCTATATTGTCACATGACAAGATTTAAAGAGTCCTAAACTGGACACAAAAACATAAAGTTCCAGAAAGAAAGTGGCTGAATGCACATTGTAGGGTTTTTTCAATCAATATGGGGCGCCATTTGTAAAATCAAAGAGTCATAATGTAACAGCAGAATTTTGTGTTATTTAGCCTGTCATAAAAGACAAAATGGGAGTTTAATTTTCAAAGTCAAATTTTCACCATTATATGCAAACATTTATAAAGGTAAAGTTCCCAACCAAATATTTAGTTAGCTAAACTAAATATTTAATTTATTCTAATTCAATTCAATTCAAAAATACTTTATTAATCCCAGAGGGAAATTGATTAACATTTATTTTAAAGACTAAATATTTAGGTCTAACCTAATATTTAGGTCTAACCTAAATATTTAGTATGTAAAATAAATATTTAATTTTCCAACTAAATATTCATTTGGAGCTAAATGTTTATTTTGGAAGCTAAAAATTATGGTCCAAATTAAATATTTATTTTCAAAAATAAATATTTAGATCGTCTCGTCTCGTCTATCCATGTCCGGGTCTGGGGCAGCATCCCAACTAGGGAGTTCCTATTTAGATCCCAGCATAATATTTATTTTGGAGCAAAACATTTAGTTTGCAAAAGCAATTTTTAAGCTTAGCCCCAAAATAAAAATTTAAATTTCAGCTAAGTATTTATTTTGGAGCAAAATATTTAGTTTACAAACTAAATATGTAGCTCTAAATTAAAAATATATTTAATAAATTAAATATATGTTTTACAAACTAAGCTACATATTTAGGTCAAACCTAAATAAAATAAATATTTAACTCTAAATAAAAAATAGCTTGCTTGCTAAATATTTAATTGGGATCTTTTACATTTATACATGTATGAATAATACTGGGAAATATGATTGTGAAAAATGAACTCATTTTTTTTATTATAATACACTAATATATATATATATATATATATATATATATATATATATATATACATATATATATATAGTTTTTATGTTATGACTTTTTGACTTTACAACTGATGCCCATTAATCGAAGCCTTTCAACAAAGTGGTGCTAAAGTCTTCCAGACTCATTTTAGAAGATTTATATGTTTTGTTATGGTTACGTGTTCCTACTTCGTTCAAGAATCTCTTAACTCCAAAGTGAACCTTTTAACAAACGACCAAGACATTTTGTATATATGTTGTTTTTCACTCCTGTGTCCAAATTTTATTCTGAGATCACTTTGATGTCAATCAGAAGCTGTTTGGTTCGTTGGCTTTATGTTGTAATAAAGTTTTGTAGAACGGAACGAATAAGAAATCTTTCTTCTGTTTCCCCCTTTAGCATCATGTGAAGACTTAATTTTTAAGACTTTACCAAACAGAAACAATTTTGATTTATCTAGATGTGTCCACTAGGTGACAGCGTTGAGTCATAAAACCTGTTAGATACAGAGGAGAAACGTTTTAGTAACAAATAGTTATTTATATTTCTCAGAATTTGTGCTCAGGTCTTCTCAGTTAATCACAGAAAGACCGTGACACATTATTGGTTTTAAAATAAATATTTAAAGGTGAATTACATAACCAGAAATGTTGTTTATGAATGAAAATTTGATCAATTATTGTGTATTTTTTTTAGAAATATTTTGTTCATATATTCCATTTTATATTGTCACATTTTTGTAATACATCAAATTGTTCAATTTATGTATTTGCTATTTGACTTCACATGTTCATAAGACGGTATGTAGTCATATTCTGTTTCCAATACATTTTAAATATATGTAACTAAATCAATCTATCTAAAACCCCACTTTTTTATGCTGCTGCTTTAATAAATCATGAATTGATCTACGTAATCAGCAAACAATAAATAATTTTTTTCATGAAATTATTTTCTAGACTAGGGTTTATTTTCAAGTTTTAGATAAAAAATACAAGAAATATGATATTAATGTGCTCAAATGTAAGAAGTGTTCAAATAGTCAGATCTAGAAGGACGGAACTGACCCAAAATTGATTGTTTTGGAGAATATTTTTGGCATTCAAGTATTGAAAAATGTCATATATTTTACTATCCTGCCTTTTGAAGGTGAAACATTTTATTTTTTGTGTAAACTTTACATCAGAGACATTATAAATATAAGTTTTAAAATCACAAAATACACAATTATTGAATTTAAACTCTTGTTAATCAAAAGTAAATACTTAGAAATGCTTGATACTTGAGAACATATTAATGAAACTTTCAGCTCATTTAAAGACTATTGATCAAGTCGCCTTTATTCCAGATGCACGGACTTTCCAACAATGCCTTTGGGCAAGGCATTCAGCTTATAACAACTCCACATTAGTGCGGCTCTCTGACCAAACACACTGCTCTTAACACATAGCTCAGTCTAAAAAAGTAAAAAATAATAACAGCCCCATATAATCTGATGATAAAGAGGGACGTCTCTGTTGGAGGAGGACTTGTCTTCGATAGCTTCAGCTCAGCCTGCATACGAGAGGTCGCTGTCCGTTTGTTTTGTCACAGAGCCGATAACTCAGCTCCATATGGGGGCCGTGACCATGGGGCCACCAGGTCATGGAGGGGTGAACAGAGGCCAAGGCTTTAAGGACTCCTTGTGGAGTTCTTCTTTCTTCCACTGGACACGTGGCTTGCTAATTGAGGGCCCACCTCCTCATAGCCTGAGTGTGAAGAGCCTGATGCCAGAAAACCAGAGGAGGAAGAGGAGGTGGGATTGTTTCAGCCATGGTGGCTGCTTGCCTGCACAATGAGGATTAACTGAATTTTAAAGATTTATGCTTATATTCAGAGCCGGTCCTAAGGCACACACAAGTGACTGCTTGGGGCCCCACAGGGCTCCCCAAAGTGCACCAAGATGACTTGAGAAAAAAAAAGTTTTAAGAACTTTAAATAATGCCAATCAAAAGATTTTAGATAAGGAAAAAATTTTAAATAGAATTTTCCATATTGTTATTTGGGTTTATGGTGTGATGGTTGCACATTTTACACATCTGGTCCAATTTTTAAGAGCAAAAGACAATAAACTTAAATTGTGCACTATAAATTCAGTGTTTGTCTGCTGATGTTACTTCCAAATGGTTTATTAAATACACTACACTTAAATAGTATTGCATTTGGAAATTTATTAGAACATTTTTTGTTGGTTTGCTACTCCTGTAAAGTTAAGATTAATAGCCATAAAACACTCGAATGATGTAAACTCCTTACAAACGATGCTAATGATAGTGGGTATGTTACAAATATAGTGTAGCCTAGAAATGATTAATCATCTGCTGTTAACTTGTTGGTATGGGGCCCCCAAAGTAAATCCTGCTTAGGGCCCCACAAATGATTGGGCCGGCCCTGCTTAAGAATAATAAGAATAAGAACAACTTTATTTATCCTGAGGGAAATTCTTGTGTCATGTACATGCTCAAAGCAGTAGGAGAGACAAAGGAACAGGTGAAATAGAAATATGATATGCAATACATACAGTAAAAAATGATCTACAGTAGTACCCTGTAGGATAGTGCAAAACAAACAATCGCATATCTCAACAAATAAATACATGACTGCATCCTTGTGAATAAGTAATTAAGCCGTCGGTGCAGGCGATTCACAAAAGTGATTAAAGTATCGTGTAATAGAATATGGGTTTGTAGCAGCATATGATATGATGGGGGGATAAAAACATATTTACAATCAGAACTCTTGGGTAATATTGCACAGTCTGGGAGGGAACAGAATAACCTGGGTAAAGGTATTAGGAGAATCACCTACAGGGTGAGGAAGAGTTAAACAATCCTATTGCCACCGGTACAAAGGATTTCCTGTGGCGGTCAGTTCTGCATTTCGGGGCAATGAGTCTTTTGCTGCGTTTGCTTCGATGGTCCATCATGTGGGCGTGCATGGGGTGGGAGGGGTTGTCCATGATAGAGAGAAGCTTTTTTAGCATTCTCCTCTCAGACACCTCCTCCAGGTTCTCAAGTCTAACACCCAGGACAGACCCAGCCCTTCTAATCAGCTTGTTCAGCCGGTTGGCATCACCTTACATTTTAGTCCTGGAAATGTTATTTTAAAAAATTTTTGTCCAAGGTCCATTGCCATCCAGGCAAACAGTAAAATCCTTTAGTGTTTTCTTTTTATATATACAATACAAAATTTAGGTCACATAGTATAATCTAACAATGTGGGGAAAAAATGCATTTTTTTGCCAGATTATTTTGGAAAACCCAGCCAAATGGTTCTGGTTTAACCAGTGAATTGACCATTACAGATGATAACAAACAATATGATCTTTTCACTTTGATCATTCAAACAAAATGAGACATTTTCAACAAACTTTTTCAGTGGAATAGAATAGAAAATCCCTTTAAATTCCCTCAAATGTTGGTGTCACTGCAGCAATCACATTCACAACAGGAGCAAAGGCTTTGCAAACAACGTAAAACCACATGTGCAAAAACTACTCAAAAGTTTCAATCACTTTAAGGAAATGAGCAGACCAACTAGTTATAAACTTTTGTTTAATATTCAAACAAACAATTGTGTGACTGGATTGAGACGAGCGAGGGGAGGTTGAACAGGCGTGCCAAGTTGACCGGGAACCTCAGCAGTGAGCTTTACCCACAACCCTTCACCCCGACGCTCGCACGTGCTCTGACAGACCACATTTTTTGTTTAGCTCCCTCAGGAATGTCAGTTTAGAAATTTCATTTGGGGACGTTGCTTTGTCATGTCCTCTTCTTTTTGTTTTAGCAATAATATGAGCAAAAATGTACATAAATGGGTGTTAGAAAACACATTTTTTTATTTGAAGACCACAAGTTAAATATATTGTCATTCTCTCCACAAATTTTTGTAATTATCTTAGATATACACTGTTATTCATGGAAAAACACTATAATACATTCAAATCTGGCTCAAAAAGGCATGCATTTGTCATCACAATTGATGAAATTTTAATGAAAATTAGAATAGGAACCACATTGTTTCTTATGTTTGCATTGTTTATATTTTCTGCTTGTAATGTTTCATATGAAAGGTTCGGATATTTAGATTAAATGTTATGATTTTCTCTTGTTTTCCATTTTATTACAACAGAATAAAGTCAGAGCCACGACTATTTGAATACATTTTAACTACTTTTGCATGAATTGGAAGCAATAAATAAAAGCTTTATGCAATAATCTCAAATACATTTTTCTGGATTTGAAAAATGTGTTTCCTGAAATCAGCAGCTTTGAGGATATAACAGCTTCTTGCATTTGAGCCAATTAGACCAGCAGGCACTTCAGTGAGTGGCTGCTTTCACACTGCACCGACTTGTGCAAGAGGTGGGGGGCTGATTGACAGGCCGCTGTGGTGAAAACAGAAACAAATAGCTTCTGATTTGAGCTCATGGTGGTGAAAAATGGACGATGCAGACTGAATGGGAAACTATTTGTGTTGTTTTCTAATTTTCGAGATGAAGCTACATGTTTGCAGCAACACATTCATTATGAGAATTCTAATTAAATCACATTTTAGCAGTTGAGTAGCATTGCTTGTTTGTTCAAAAGCAAAAATAGTTTGGATTTTCCTTTATATTTTATAACATTTCATCAAAATTTAATCTTGTACTTTCTGTTTGATTACATGGTTACAATAGTTTTTGGGTTATTTAAATGAGATTGAGCACACGTGCTTGTTGTGAAATAGAAAATTATAACATATTCGTGCAGATAGATAGAAAACGTTTTCTTTTCAGGCCAAAGGGAAAATTTGGACCTCCGGTTTCTGCTCTGCAGCTGTAATACTACAAAAATCCAGCAGGGGACGCACGAGACCGAAGGTGAACCTTCAGAGTGACACCAGGGGAATCTTGACTGACTCTGTCAGTGCGCCCCAGGGCAGCTGTGGCTGCATCGTAGCTCATCACCATCAGTGTGTGAATGTGTGTGTGAATGGATGAATGATACACTGTAGTGTAAAGTGCTTTGGAGTCCTTACTCTGAGAGGCGCTATACAAGTGTGGGTCATTTATCATTCATTCATTATCCTTCCTTTGACTCACCAACATGGGGAGAAGGCATGCGATTTACATCATCTAACATCAACGAATAAAAAAATGTCCATGCAAATGATGTTCTGAATTTGTGTCAAACCTGACATCTGGGCTGCAGTTGACCTACAGGGTTTGGACATGTTTAGAATCTCAGTTTGGTATTTTTATGCATAAAAACGTTATACTTCAAACCATATTTCTCTTTTCCCTTCTCCTAATCTCATCAATTTCAGTTAAATTTGAATCAACGTGGATGGGACCC